CATGTCTTGAAGTTCTCCAGAGGGCTGGTAATGAACTAATCATCTGATTCAGGTGTGTTGACCCAGGGTGAGATCTAAAACCTGCAGGACACCGGCCCTTGAGGCCTGGAGTTGGACACCCCTGAGGTTAATGAGCTCAGTCACTGGTTTCAGTTCATATTAAAGACAAAACTGTATGATGAATGATGAAGAGTCAGCAAGGATTATTCAGGATATGCTTACTGACTAAGGACTTGTCACTCGTCAGTAGTAGGCGGTGTGTTTGGGTTAACACTCAAATCTGGCCTTTTCTCTTCAAATCCAGAACAAAAAAGCTCAGCTCAGGACTTTAAAACCTTTGATTTTATTAACCAAACATCACAGTCACTGTCTCCATCTTTTATACTGTCTATATTCCAGATGTAGTATTAACTAATGGGACACATCAAGGCCCAGTATAAAGCTTTGGAAGGGTCATTTCTGTTCCTCTCACGTTGGTGATCCCTGAACTATTCCTTTGGCACCATCATCAGATCAAAATGTGAATGTAATCAATAGAAAGTCACCAGAAACCTGCAGACCGATGAGACTGTAGTCTCAGCTGCACTTGTTTAGCACGACCTCACGGTGACAAGCATCTTCTTGTTTTATAATAAGCTCACAATAAAATCAAAAACAGAAAATCAAATCAGTTGTGAAATGAGAAAATGAAATGGTTCACATGAAAAGTCGGGGCTAATGTTGTTTTTAAATGACCAGCAAATAGCAACAACACTCACTTCATCTTGCAAAACTATGAATCTGCTTTTGTAAGTCAAAAAAGGAAGTTGGTTCATACAGCACACAGTTCTTACTAACAGAGGATTACAATAAAAGCCCGTACCACAATGCTGAGACAGAAGATCCCTGCACTGCAGACCAAACATCAAAGTAGACTTCTTAGCTTTCAACATCCCAGAGCTTGTGTGCATGCTGAACGTGCACAGCAACTCAGACGTGCTTTTTTTTTGTTTGTTTTTTGTTTCTGTGGACAGAGTCGAGTATGCTTAATCACACTTACACATCAGAAAAACCACTCCCTGTTGATTGACTGTTACTCTGAATTTCCTTGGTACATTGATTCTGTTGCATATTGGCACAAGCCTGCATTCATCCACATGTTTGTCCTGGAAAGTCAAATTGATTTCATATTCACAAGAAACCAGCGGTTGGGAGTCTAAATGGCTGAATGGAAATTTCTTCCCTTGTTAAAACAAAGCCAAATACCATAGAAAAGTCAAGTGTAATGTCTTTATTCCAACGTGCATAACTTGGAGAAGAGTTTTGTTTGGGTTTTGAAACACCCTCTGTTTTGCTTGTGCAGAAAACTAAATCTTTCTATTGAGTTATTGATGGCGTGACATAACCGGCTGGCAAAAGTTTAAACTGTTTGGAGCTTTTGACAGAAAATTGAACACATCCAATTAGACATAAATGAACGTTCAAAGCAAAAGAGGGTGAGTGGACAATATTACAGGTTGTGCTTTCCTTAACACTGAATCTGCAGAATTGATCCAGATCTTATGGCTGCCACTCAGATTCCCGGTTGGGAGCCTTCCCGAGGAGGTAAAACTGACTATTTGACTGCAACCTTGGGTGGAAATGATACTTTGTGAGTGTTTCTGAGCTCAAGATAACACGGAGTAAAATGCTTCACATTACTTTTGGCTGTTGTTACATGTGGAACAATGACAGCACATACAAACTGTGCAGTCAGATGTGAAAGAGGAGCTCAAACGGTGCACAGGAAAGAAATATTTTTTAGAAGTTAGTGGTTTTTGTCATATTTCAGGCCGCCTTATAGAACAAAATAACTGGGTGTCCATCATCAATTGAGGGAGGCCTCTACTTGTGCAGCTTCCTGGGGCTAAAACCCAGAACCCATTCTAATGTTTGTCAACCGGCATCTTTATTGATACATATCAGATGTCAGAGATACAGGGGACGCCATCAAATGTCACCTTAGATATGTCTGTGGATATACATTAGCAGATAGTTTCTGACCAGACAAAATATTCTTACTGTGCCAAGAAATTGCACAACTAAGTGTCTTTTCTGCCATTAAATCTTGCAACACTTCAGATTGTTCCTTCTGTTAGGCAAAAATCTAAGTCATATCCAAAACCTTGTTATGACACATTTTTATTGATCTTAAAGTTAAGTTAATACTTAACTGTCTGAGCTGGTTACTGGCTTGAGCTTGACAGCTGACAGGATCATTACTGAGATCTGAACTTGTCAAAACTTGACTCAACAACATTTCCAAACATCTGTTGAATATATGTGGGTGTTTGGAAACAGGACGATCATCCCTGCTTGTTTGTTTTTCATTAAAATGTATTTTAGGGTCGACTTGTTCGACACTCGACGTGTAGGTGTTCAGTGATTCCTAGGTAAGGATCAAT